ACCAGTACTTCTCCAGAACCCTTGCCTTTCAGTTTAATTTATATGAGGGCTGTACAACTAGTGACCCACTAAACTGAATGAAGCTTTTTCTGCTGCCTGCCTGCAACTGTGGGAACTTGTGTCCAAAATATGCCAAGGTGATTTGTTGGGTCACAAAGTGTGCCATTTTGATCTTAGTTATCTGATACTTTCATTGTCCCAAATCTTTTTGCTAGGCCCAACATGTCTTCAGGCATAGGCCCACCCCAATCAACTCTAGTATCAGTTTGTCTCCATACTAGAGTGGGTGGAGGGTGTAATTAACCCTAATTTCATCCCTCATGTTATCTGTGCATTTTAGTTCCTCACAACTCTTTCCTTCTAGCCAAGATAATTTTCGCTATTGGACCCCAGTTTTGCAATTATACCATCCTTTCTTTAAAAAAAAACCCAAAACATGGCAGTCTGTATTTATAAACTCAAATCTGGCATTGTCCTGCAATTTTGGCCTCAGAAACCACACAAATAGCACCTGGCTACAACATCCTGAATGAATGTGTAAAATAACAAATTTGTGTTAAGACAGGATGTGAAGGCAGCAACTACACATTTTCAAACTAAGCCCTCAATCCTACTACATTAAGTGTTGCCATGCTGCATATATTTAATCAATTACTCCAATGTGATGGCTCTGTACTGAATTGTGATGTGAAACCCATCTGTGCTATCTAATCTGCTTTGGCTCACGCACACATTCTTGTTTCTATGGCTCATGATGCCTACCCCTACCTATATCCCACACAGAATTTCTGATTGTGAATTTACAGTGGGATCCCGTAACCATGGAGCCATAAGTCCTAGGCACATTGGCTTGAAACAGTTTTCCATTCCTGTTAAAAAGGTTTCCTGCAGCAGCTTTCCAATTTCAGGGTTTCTTGGGACCTCAACGGGCATGTAATTACAGCCATAATGAATTTGCTATCAAAATGTAAAGTTACATTCAAGTTTCTTTTCATGGATTTATAGCATTGAGGAGGATATGCTTTAATAGCCTACAAATTTGGGGAAGAATCTTTTCCGTATGATTAGCTGTCGACATAGCTTTCTGGTATAGGCTTTGATTGCAACTCAAGAGCCTCCAAGTCAAATCTAGACACTCTTAACTTAATAAAGCAAATAAATAGAGGGGTTAGATTTTACTTTGAGCAATATGGTTTCACAACATGAGTCAGTGATGGCTTTAAAAACGGTAAAGCAAATTCATATAAATCAGATCTACTGTATCATAATTACCAGTCATAGATAAATGAAAGGTTTATACATAGAGAAAGTGCACCTCTGAACATCAGATGCTAAGGATAGGCGAAAATAAAGTAATATGGCCTTCTTGTTCTGCTTGTACTTTCCAGACATAAGTATCTTGCTCCTGATGGAAACGGAGTTAGCCTTGGTGTGCCTTGAACTAATACTGAAGCAGTTGTTGTGTTTAATGTTAAGATAGGGTTTGGGGAATAACTAAAGTTTCAAAATTAGAAAATATTTCTAAAATAATAAATGCTCATTAATATCCTTTTGAAACTATCTTGGCCAATTTCAAAGCAGGGTTAGATTTGGCTAGTACTTGAATAGGAAACCATCAGGAGACCATAAGTCTGTAGGTTAACTGGGCAGCAAAAATAAAAATAAAAATCCCACTTTCAAATTGTTGCCAGGAAAACTACATGGACATGTCTGTGAAGTTCTCAGAAGCTGAATTTGACTTGAAGAAGACCTTAGCTGCTCAGAGTTTTTAACATATGCTATAATATGTTATAATCCTGTCAAGTTAAATATTGATATTATCTCCAAGACAGATCAGCATTATCACATCCATTCCATATCACAAATGACCTACCAAATGAATTTGTGGTGTAGATAAATCTTGACTTAGGGATATTCCTTATAGCTACCAAAAGATAGAAGGCTCTCCTTGTTATATTAATGCTTGCATTCCTCTGCCATGCCAACCACGTTGGCACTGAATTGATGTTGCATAACATGGAGAAACATTTCATAGCCAGGAGAGCACACCAGCCCAGTGTTTGGATGTATTCTAGCATGCATCACAATTACTGAGACCTGTGCAGAAGCAAAGGTCTCACAGAAGTGTATACAATTGCCTACAATTTTACATGGTAGTATAGTACTCCATACAAAAAAGTTAACTGGAGAATTTGACTGGAAACCTTAGGCAAATAGAATGTGTAAGGTGAAAAGGTGTTTTGTAAGTTATAGGAAGTAAAACTGACATTAGAAATGGAACCTTATCTTTCTTGCTCAGTTCTAATCCTGTGTTGAATTTTTGAAGGTGTGCATTTTTAGTGTGAAAAAAGGAAATTTGGAGTGTGAGGGAGCATGAAATGTTTCACTGTCCACTTTTTTTTTTGCTGAGTACTACAAGAAGTAGCATGCTGTTGTGTACAATCTGTACCTGTTTTCATCTCTTAATGTTTTGCCTGGTGCAAGTGAATCATTCTTAAAGCATAGGCCTATGCATGTTTACTTAAATGTAATTGGGTTTGGTGGTGTTTCCTTCAAAGGGCCCTATGAGAAGTAAGGCAGGCTAGAAATAGTAAATTGAAGAGTGGTCATAGGATAGCACCCTCAGTTAATTTTTAATTGAATAAATTTATACTATCCTTCTATTTCAAATCTTCCAGGACTTTCTTTCAGGCAGCTGATATTAGGACATGCTTGTGGTTCAGTTCAGTTGGAGATTCTTTGGTGCAAGTTATATTAAAAGGAAATGGAGAAAAACTATACAGCAGTACTATTGTGCTCTAGTTAGACTCCATTTACATCAGTGAGACTTGTGCAGGAGAATTTCTTATTGTATTATGCTGTTGTTTATTGGATTATTTTGCAGATCCATTAGGTTGTAAATATTGAGGATCAATAATAAAAGTTTCATAGCTTAAATGAGCAGTATTCCACTTTTAAAATGAATTCTTCCCAAAGAATAACAAGCAACTTGCAAGATTCAACTGATGATCCTCCTGCTTCTTTAACTGTGTTATCAAAATTTAAAAAAAAAGGCAGAGAAAAATGTCTGTTCCAGAATTCACAAGGGATGGTAATTAGATCCATAAGTTCTGTATTTTAATCTGTATTTTATGATATAGAGTAATAATGAAGTAAGATTATTGGATTGCTTGAAGAGAAGTCAAATATAATACAGTAGGTGTTTTAAACTACAGATTTTTCATCTGATGTGACAGTTGTCTGGACTTTTAACATTTTGCCAGTAAAAAGATCTTGGAACCCTGAAAGCTTGCCGCTTTGTGTGAAATTTCCATTGGCCTAATAAAATCATTGCCTCCATAGGGGGGTCAGTATTACTAGAGTTCTCCCTGCACCTACAGACTTCAGCAAAATTGTGACCACTCTACAAGATAAGCATTTGTTTTCAGAATTCCTCATCCCATTCTCACTTTCTTTCATTTTAGCTATCCTGTATTGGCACTGATAGCTACTACTCTTTTACAAATATGTTACAATACATAATTGATTTTGTGTTATATTCAAGTGTTTATTGGAAAACAATTAATCAAAGACTCTTCAGCTTTATTTGAGTATCATCACTGTCTTGCACAAACAGCCTAATTGCTGAGTCTTTTTGTGCTTGGAAATCCCATCGTGGACAGCTTTACACTACCTCTGTCTTCATTCAGCCCTCCCTTAAAAACCATAATTGAAACCCTTGGTCTTCATCTGTTAGTCTTCAACCTCAGCAAAACCTAATTAGATAGAATTAGATGTGTCCATACTCATATCTTCTTCCTTCTTTTGCTTTTTGTCTTTGTCATTGTAAAAAAGCAGATTGCTGTTGTACCAAGTAGGAAAAGTCAATTGTAGTGAAATAGATAAATTATGCACCCTCAGAGGGAATACAGTTTCTGTCTGGTACTGTAAATCTTCTTTCTCCTGTGTATGATCTCACAGCTAAATGGCTAAATATTTTCCAAGTCACATAAAACCCCAGCACCAGCTATATTGGCATTAGGAAAGAAAGCCCAGATCCACATTGAGGTAACTTGACTAATACTAGACCAACTGAAGGTTCATGAATTAGGTCCAAATATCCCAGAGTTCTTCATTTGGCAATACGACATTATTAGAGCACTATCAATGTTGCCACGAAAGCTGTATGTGTGAAGTAATATCCAAATTGTTTGGGTCAACTTAAGTCATGTGAACACAAACCTCATTTTAAATGGCTTCATTGGTATAGTTGGATTTGACCCAAGCCACATAGGCAGCACTTCTCATAAGTAATATGCCATGTAAAAGTACTTAACTGTATCATAGCTCACCATATGATTAAATAAAAGAGTCAGAAAAGAGCATGAAAGGTCTTGGTTTGGGCAAACCTGGATCTTGCAATTGGTGCAAAAGCTTCATTCCCTTGATTCTGAGATACATTTGTGGACAATTTGAATGTCCATAAAGGTGCACCAGATTAATATTTATTGTTTTCTCTATCACAGGACTAACATGGTGTCTGTTGATGGAGTCAGGGTTATTTAGGAATTCACAAGGCTATATGTAACATGGATTAAACAAATGTTAAAGCAACTACTTTTTATTGAAATTGTGTATTCAGAATGGTATTGAACAAGGCAATATAATTAGTCTGCAAACGGCTGTTACAGTAAAAGCTGCAAAATAAACATGCAGAAACCATCATAATTAGACTGTCAGCATCTCTTGGTATTTTAAACCATTAATAGAGTTTAATGTTATCAATTCTGGAGAAAATGAATTCCAACTAAATATTCTGGTTTTCATCCATTACTGTAGAAATATGTCATTTGGTGATTTTTCAGAGAGAAGCTTTAATATGCTATCTAATATGCATTTTTAAGTTCTAAATAGTTTTATTGAAGAGTCTGAGGCATAGTAAGGAAAACGTTTAATTCATATAACATTTCTTAGCCTCTTATCCTTTTCTCTAACAAATTCTCTGTTTTTGAAATTGTCAGGAACTCATTGCATACCTGGATAAAGTTTCTTGCTGACTTTTTTCCTGAGGAGTGTAATTCTTTGAGGCTCATACCTCAGTCTCTCAAGGAATAGCAGCGTGGGAAAAGGTATAAAAGTTAATGTTTTCTTCTACCCGGACAAAGGAGAATGGGGACCCTACACCCAAAAGAATGAAGACTCGACAGAATAAAGATTCTGTAAGTACAGATTAATGGGGGTTAAGAAAATAAAAGTCCCTGGTGTTAGACCAGGTGGCTGTTGTTGGGCAACACCGAGGGAGAATACATTTAGAGGACAACAGAGGCATTATATAGAAATGTTGACAATCTTCAGAAATACATTGGGACTCCTAAATTTAAATAATTGGGGAACTACTGAATTGTGATCACTTCGTTCATGGGTACCTGATAATGGGGCCTGGGGGGTGGATTGCCATGGTTCAATCATGAAAACATGGTGGATGAGTTTTTCCAAGTGAGGAAAAGTTTCAAGACATTCTGGATTAATATGTATATATTTGATTGTGAGTGATTTATGGGTTCCAGATGGAAATAAGCATTAAAATGTCCTGTCCCTGTCATTTCCAGAATAGCAGAAGAAAAATAGTAAGAAAATAAAAAAGAGTAATTACAGAATTTTGATTAAGTAATCATTCACCTTTGAACTACAGATTTAATAAAATGAAAAGCATATTCTAGAGTTCAGTATAAATGAATTTTAAATATGAAAAATAATGCTATTTAGTAATTGCCACAAACAATAATTATTAATCATTCCTAGAAAGAAAGTTTTTAAAAAATATATATTTCTTATTCCTTTCATCTTGTATTAGTAGCCCTGAACTAAAATTACCTTAAAAAAGAAAGGAGTATGTCCTTAAATTTTTGCCATACTTATTTTATTAACAAACTTTGGGTTCCACCAATTAATGAATGGATGCTTTAGCCATCCTCAAATATTTTAGATCTTGCTATTTGGTCTCTTGGCACTGGAGAAGACTCTGGAGTTTATGGATTGGCCAGGTTTGATGACCTCCCTTACGGTACACCTAGAACGTGCAAAGACATATATTGTTAGATTCTGCAAGGAAAAGAGCAAGAGTGGGAAGGACACCTTCCAGGAAAGCTTCTCTGCCATTACTGATTTTTATATTGAGGAACTATGAGCACGTTTCATGAACCCCAAGGGTTCCTGGAACACAGGATCAAAACCAAACCTTTAATGTTAATCAACAATTTAAATCTGGTTAAAGTCGACAATTTAAGGTAATTTGTCCTTTTGGTTACTTTAGGCCATCCTATACAGCTTACAGTATAAACTTCCAAGCCTGTCCTTTGGAGTACTAACTACTTAACGATATACTGTTTTTGCAGTTTCACAAAGACAGCATAACCAGGAAATAACTCTACATGGATTGTAATCATATCTGCTCAGTTTAGCGGATCACTTGTTGTATGTTACCAAGACAGAGAAAGGAAAATATAGGGGATAAAAAATGTTCTACACTGAATCAGTGGAAAAATGTAAAGGGAGGAAGTGGTTGTTTGTAAGGCAGTTTGCATTTTTGATGCACTCTGGAGCTACAAAATTCCATGCAGGTATTTTTATTTTAAATCTACAGTACATGCAATGTACAGTATTTTGCTATTATTAATGTATATCCTAAAGTCTTCCACTTGCCTCACCCTGCAAAGAATGCTTTAGGTTGACAAACACTTGTAAAGACAAAATCATTGTAAACAGTAACACTGAATAGTTGTATCTAGAGATTGTGAATGCAGATATTGAGATTTTTTTTTATAGCTCTACATATAATGTAAATCAAAACTGAGAAAAGTCAGAGAAGTTCAGACTAGGAAACATGGAAGAATTGGAAGGAGATGTAAAAACCTGAAATAAATAATTGTCTGTTTTCTCAACAGATGTCAATGCGGAGTGGTCGAAAGAAGGAGACTCCAGGGCCCCGAGAGGAGCTCAGGACACGGGGTCGAGCATCTCCAGGTGGTGTCAGCACTTCCAGCAGCGATGGCAAAGCTGAGAAATCCCGACAAACTACCAAGGTAGATTTTTTTATTTATATATTACCCATTAAAGGTCATTTATACACAAAGGAAAATTGGTAATAATGCTATAGAAACCAATACATATTGCAATATATGTTTAGAGCTGCATTAAATATTCTCCAGTTTGGGTTTTTAATAGAAAACAGCAGTTTCAGCAAAGTAGAAAATTATCCTAAAAATGCTTAAGCTGTAAAACTGTTATTTCCCCTACCAGCTGATTCTTTAGCGCCATTTTTCCCTAGCTGTGGCTGATTCCTCCTTCCTGCATTTGATCATGAACAGGAAAACATCATCATGATTGCAGCCAATCAGATTTTGTTATTTCATGATATCACATACAGTAAGTGAGGGCAATAAGGACAAAGATAAATCAATACATGAGCAATAATTATCCCATATATGAAATGCCTTCTAACATTTGCAGCTGTTTGCAGGAACATTTATTAGAGTTTGAAGGTCCTTCCTCTTTAAGACAATTATTGTTTATTTATTAATCTACATAGCCTTCACCATCACTTGCCCTAATTTGCCCTAAATCTGATTGGGTGTGTAGCAGTCTGATCCTTTCTCACCCATGACATTATCCGTGTGATAATGGAATTTCCTGTTTGACTAATACAAGAAGTAGTTTTAAGTAACCTCACTTGCACGTGAATTACGTTGCATTTTCTGTAGCTAAAAAAAAATTGAAAACGTATTCTTTGAATAAATGCTATTCAAAGTTTTTGCTCTGGAATATGTCCCCTCTCCTATCTATTTGTCCTGCAGAAAGGTCGTGTGGAGGAATCGATGGCTCCTAAAGGAAGCAAGCAGAGTCGATCAGAGGAGATTTCAGAGAGTGAAGGAGAAGACACCAATGCTGCAAAGAAAACTAAAACAGAAGTAGGTTTTCCCTACAACTCTTCTTGCTCAGTATTGCTCAGCTCCAAACATCCCCAGAATGGTCCTTTTCGTTGAAGAAATTTTTCCTGCTTTTCCTAAGCTCATCTAGCCAAGTACTCACCTGTGTTATATCACAGTGTCTAACAGTTGTGGTTGTACTATCCATTGTCAAGACAGAATGACTGCTGATCATTCACACACAAATGAGGCAGCTTTTTCCTATACCTAATTGCAATTCTTCTTTTAACATAATTCCCAAACTTGCCTAGAGAGGTCTCTTTTAACGTCCCTGAAAGAGCATTTGCTCAGTATTCCTTGTTTTTCTTAAATCCTAGGAGCTGCCAAGACCACAGTCTCCTTCTGATGTGGACAGCCTAGATGGTCACAGCTTCAATGATGAGACAAGCAGTGACCCACGAGACATTGACCAAGATAATCGAAGCACCTCTCCCAGTGTCTATAGCCCTGGCAGTGTGGAGAATGATTCCGATTCCTCCTCTGTGCTTTCACAAGGACCCTCTCGCTCTTATCATCACCCCCCACTCTTTCCCCAGAGCCCCTCACCAGCTCCCCTGACGGAGGGCCTAGCACGTCCAGCAGAATCCAACTTCAGCTTAACAGGGGAGGTTCATCCTCAGGGCCCCACGAGTGGCTACCAATCTCAGCTTGAAGCCCAGGCTTCAAGGATTTTCCAGGCGCAGGCCCAAGCCCCCCCAGTTCCCACTCCATCCACCAACTCATCCTCCTCCCCCTCTTCTTCATCCTCTTCCTCCTGCACTATGCATGCTTCTCTGTACCCGAATGCTAATGTAGTCCAACTGGGGCCCAAAGTTGTGAGCGCAGGGGTGGGAATTCCAGCACCAAGTGTGCGTGAGCAGTCCCTGGGTACTAAGCATAACCCACCCCCAACTACTCCTATTTCATTAGCCTCTGTGGCAGGTGGCTTGCCTCCTCAGAAGACACCTCCAAACAATTCCCCATCAATAATTCCTTCTGCTGCTGCCACCTTTCCCCATGTGCTGGCCAATCTGCCTCCCCCTCCAGCTCTGCGCCCTCTAAATAACATGTCTGTGACTTCCAGCTCACCAGGGGTGGTGGGGCAAGCATTAAGTGGACATCTTTCATCACCCCATGCAATAGGGCAGGATAAGTCACCTGCCCCTTCTCGTTATCCCTATGCTCCCCCTCCTCCTCCACCCCCCAGCTCTTCTGCTCAGTATCCCCTTCCTCCTCCTTCCCAGGCACTACCCAGCTACAGTTCATCATATGGCCACTCCTTTCCACCACCCAGCAGCCTCTCTGTATCCAGCCAACCACCCAAGTACACTCAGCCCTCCATGCCCTCCCAGCCTGTGTGGAGTCAAGGCCCACCACCATACAGCCGCCCACTAGGGAACACCAACTCCCACCCTCCTGCCTCCTTTCCTGGTCAATCCACTCATCACCAGCAGCACCATCACAACCACAGCAGTGGTGCTGGTCTCTCTCCAGCAGCAGTTGCCACACCACAAACATCTGGTAGTTATTCCCACCCACTAGAAGCAGGTCCACATCACCCTTCTCATGCTGCCTATGGGCTACGCCTCTACCCACCTCATAGCCATGCTACATACAGCCAGGCTCCTTCTGCATCCTCCTCCTCCTCCTCTTCCTCTTCCTCCTCCTCTTCCTCCTCCTCGTCCTCCTCCTCATCCCAGGGGACATACCCCGGACTCTGTAGCCATCCCCAAGGGCAGAGCACAGCCACTTATGCCTTTCCTCCCCCACCTCCACCTTCACCTGCACATGGGGCTGGACCCCCAGTCACTTCTGCTTCAGTTACCCTCTCCACTGTCATAACCACAATGGCCTCTTCTTCTACAGCCCCGTATAAGACAGCATCACCTCCAGTAGGACCGCCAACGACAGCCCCTTATGGAAAGCGTACAGCTTCCCCATCTCCTACTTTCCAGCCGCCAACCTCGTACAAGCCAGGCTCTCCTCCTGCATCCTCAGCATCCTCATTCCGGGTAGCCACACCACCAGGATACAGACTAAGCTCTTCTCCGGCAGCTGGGGGCTACAAGGCCTCCTCACCAGCCCCCATGGCTCCTCCCGCCTCTGGAAGTATGGCTGCCCCTGCCCCACCCTTGCCTCCCCTGCCACTCAGTGCTGCACAAATCAAACAAGAGCCTTCAGAGGAATATGAGACCCCCGATAGCCCAATGCCTCCAATTCGGAGTCCTTCCCCAGCCCCCAAAGTGGTGGATGTACCAAGTCATGCCAGCCAATCAGCCAGGTAAGGAACGCAAGGAAACGGAGAGGGTGGGGAGAGGAGATCAAGTGGGTGGGGGGAGGGAATGCCTCCTTTGACAAACTGAACTTCCAGAATTCAGCAGAACAGAATGATGATGTAGAAGGCTTCTTTAAGGAGTGCTGAAAAATCAGCAAGTGGGCTTGGAATATCCCTACAGGGACAGATTTCCCCCATTGCCCTATGGCTATACATATTTGATTGATTTTTATTTGTATAACACCCATTTCTAAAGGCTCTGCATATGACAGAGCCTGTTAAAATCTCAAAAGTTAGGGTTGCTGTTGCAAAGGAATTCTTGATGGACTTTATAGAGGACAGTCTTAATGTTTTGTACAGCTTCTGTGTCTTAGCCCTCTGTTCAAGAAATAGAAATGGAATAAACAATCCAAAGTTAAAACTGTTGTGTCGATTGACTTAATGTATGTAATTTTCACAGGTTAAATAATCTTTTACTGTTTTTCTTGAAGAATTTGGGTTTCCCCAGAGCAGACTTTGGAGTTTGTTTTTCTTAAAAGAGTTTCTTAGGAGAATTCATATGGAGGCTGAGATATTGGGGCTTCTTTCTCACCCAGGTTCAACAAACATCTGGATCGTGGCTTCAATTCCTGTTCACGGACTGATCTCTACTTTGTGCCCCTGGATGGCTCCAAACTGGCCAAGAAAAGGGCTGATCTTGTTGAGAAAGTGCGCAGAGAGGCTGAACAGAAGGCCAGGGAAGAGAAAGAGCGGGAAAGAGAGCGAGAACGAGAGAAGGAGCGGGAAAGGGAGAAGGAAAGGGAACTGGAACGAAGTGTGGTAAGTGCCAGTTGCACACACAGGCTCCTCCTTTGGTTCCTGGCTTTCCCCTTTAAAAGAATAATAGAGTTGCAGAATCAGAAATATCTCTGCCAGAGGTTTTCAAGGAGCTGTTGCCAGTTAGAGTTGACTGTGCTAACCCATATATATTAACTGCCCAGTTTGTCAGAAGGCAGTATCCCTGGCAGTCAGGACACATCTTGCTGAA